CTGGAGCTGAGGAAACAGCACAGCCTCCACGAAAGCTTAGCAATAGGGTAGGTTATGCAGTCCTGGGTTCCAAGCAGTTGGCTATGGCTAAAGAGCAGGTATCTGTGGGGATAGGGGAAGTGGGCTGTGGCAGACACTTTTACTCCTTCCTTGGGAAGCTTTGGGCTATGGGCACTTAGAGGCTGGAGATAATCACACAGTTCAGGGCCTGAGCTCTGAAGGTAGCAGTCAATACATGTGGTTCTACTCCCTCTAGACCCTACCAGGAGCTGGGTAGGTTGGGTCTTTCCAAGCCTAGCTGGGTCCCTCTTCCTGGGCTAGCCATGCTCTACGTCCCATGGGTTTCCAGCAAATATGCTACATGCAGCTCCAGCAGGCAGCTGGGATGATAAAAATCGCCATCTTGACATGACGTGGGTCAGACCATTCAAACGCACAGGCACGTTTAGCGTCTGTGCCATCTGGGGGAAGGCTCTCCTGGGCCCACTCTCCGAACCACTATCTCCACTATCACTGAACACACTGTCGGGGAAGCAATGCCTGATGCTCTGTGAGGAAGCCAGTCACAACCTCAGCCTTAGAAGATCCTCACACCGACTTGAAGACACAGATATTCCTAAGACATTCCAAGTTCCAGACATATGCCAGGCCTTGGGCGAGGGTATGGAGACACGGATTTAGCTCTGTCCACCTAGAAGCATCCATAATCCAAGACAGGAGAGAAATGAACAGCCATGCTTGTCGCCGAGAGGGTAACCAGGCACAAGACAAAGCCTGCCACTCTGCCTGGAGGAACCCAGAAAGGGGACCGAGAATGGACCATAAGTCATGGGAACGCAGATGTGAAAAGAGCTGAGTCCCAGGTCCTCCAAGGTGGAGAGGTGGAGCTGATGCTTAGGGACCAGCAGAGATGGAGGAAAGAAGCCTGTGAAGATGGGAGAGGATTCCCGCAGACCAAGAGTCAGCCACAGATTCAGCAACACAAAGAGAGGGTGAGGGTGATCTTTATGTTGTTCCTTGATCATGGGTCCTGATCGATAGCCCAAGCCGTCCTTGAATTCACAATCCTCCTGTCTCAGTTTCCCAAGTACTGGGGCAGTGAGCCTATCCCACCAGACACGGCTCATTGCTGATCTTAGCACCATCATATGGGGTACCTAGGGTAGACTTTTAAGGCAAGCTGGAGTCAGCAACCATCTCACGCTTCAGGTACCTGATGTCTGTTCATGGCCCACAGCCGGTCCCAGGTATACTTGATGGTTACTGAACTGACCAAAAATGGAGCCATAGATCTGTCCTGGCCCCCAGTCCTTCTGCCCAGGCTCTGATCCCTGAGATTGATGTTCACATCTACAGCAGGACCCACACAGACAGGGCCCCTGCCGTGGGAAATGGGGCTGTGTGGACAAGCCAGAGCAGGGCTGATCTACTTAATGACTTCATTTGGCTCCTGTCTTCTCTGGCTAGGAGATGGTCTTCAAAAAGACAATCAGGCAGAGGGAACGGGAGCCCGGAATGTCAGAGATAACAACAACACGTGGCATCCACACTCTGCCCTCCCATCCCCTCCCCTGCCACATGCCACTCGGAAATTGAGGGCAAAGGATGAAACACTGGGCAGGTAGCAGGCCAATCTCTAACCCTGGGGAGATCATTACCAGAAACTACACAAAGAAAGAGCCCTTTGCCCAGCCCTTTCTCAGATACCCTAAGGGGGGGGTGGTGGCTGGTTTTGTTTTCTAATGAACTGATACATAAAACTACTTAGGGCACTGCCTTGAGACTTAGTAGGTGTGGCTGTTAAAAGAACAACTTCTACCTACATCACTTGCATTCCATTATTGTTGTGGGTTTGTTTGTTTGTTCTTGTTTTATTTTGCTTTGTTTTGTTTGAAGGCTTCAGCAGATAGAATTAGACCAGTGGGTAAGAGTTCTGGGGAAGTAGGTTTTGTATCATTATTAAGAAGGAAATTTTGTTCCTGAATTTTTCCATGGAGGAACCTTGTGGGATTGCAAGCCCCGTCCCCAGGGGTCCAAGTCAAAGCCACATAGCATAACCCAGGAGCAGACAGCCCAGCTGCCCCCAGCTCTGGCAGTGGGAGAGCTGACGCTCAACCTGGCTTGGGCTCTGGCATAGTCCTGCACGCCAGAGCCAGCTTCTCCGTGTGTTTAGCAGTCACTTGCAGGCCTCTGGTTGGCAGGAAGCCTCAGTGACCACTGCTGGGCCATACAGAGTTTTGCCTCTAGGGATATGACATTCTAGGTGTGAAAGCGTAGCTTTGGGGTTAGTGATGTTTAAAGTAAGTTCATTCCCCATTAGGCCCATGAGGGGGATAGTCCATCATCCATTTTCAGACTGGCATACAGATTGAGAGAGGAGGCAGTTGGAAGCGGTCAGATATCAAAGTCAAGTCCCTAGGGTGTTTCCCTTTCCACATAGAAAGCAAGGGCCAGGCCCCTGTACGCATGCCTGCCACATCCATGGGATACCACACTACCCTGTGAACAGCTCAGGCCATATGAGTGCCAAAATTCCACAAGAGACTTAGGCATTATCATAGACCCTAGAAACAGCCACAGCCAGACCTCATCCCATTAGACCCAACTTTCCAATATCTTCTCAATCTCTCCTTGCTGAAATAGAGAACCAGAGGACAGTGAATTTGTATCCAAGGTCACAGAGTTAAGGACCAAAATCTTGGCTTCTGATTTCTAGGTTAAGGCCCTGTTGTCCAGATCCTTAAACAAAAGAAAGGGGGAAGTAAAAAAAGTCGCTGGTACCCTTCCTAAGAGGGAACATCAGAGCTGTCCCTAAGCTCCCCAGAGCCAGGATTGATACCACAGCACTAGACAGCCATTTCTGCAGTGGCTGCCAAGAGTAGCCTTCAAGGGGCTCCAGTGCTTGGGAGGGGCTCCCAGGAGCCAATCAATGCTGGCATTTGCAGAAGACAAGCCAGGGCTGCAGCCTAGGACTCCTTACCATCAGTGCCCACTCTGTCTACTCTCATCCTCCTTGCACAGTGGGGCCTCTGGGCATGCCAAACGATCATGGCCCCGCAGAGTGACAAGGCAGAACGCAGCCAGCCCTGCTCCCTCAGGAGGTCCCTCTGCCTTTCTCAGCGGGCACCAGAATCAGTTCGTAGCTGGTCAGCCCTCGGCTTCCGCTGTCAGCTGTGTCAATGCACACCCTCCGCCACAGAGGACCGCCCACTGTGGGCGAGGTGACAGGAGCAGGTTCAAAAGCCAGCCGCGGAAACAGTAGGTGAAGGCAAGGGAGGGACCTCCCTCGCACTTCGGCCCCACCTCCTTTCATCACCCTGGGGACCACACCAGACATTCGCTCAGTCCCGGTCACCCAGGGCCCTGATTTCTTCAATCTGCCTGACACCCCTCTGTGGCCGTAGCATTCAGGGCTGGCACAGGCAATCATCTAGGTATATATCAGACACAAGGAGAAACAGTAAGAATGGAAGGGACCGGAAGTCCTAAGGGTGATCCACACTGCAGGCCACTGGTGTATTTGCTGCGGTGTATGTCCAATCTGCAGGGCATGGTCCCCATGCGGCTCATGCAACTAAGGGCAGCTGTGAACGGGGCTCAACACAAAACCGTAACACTTTCTAAAAGCATTAACGGATTGTTTTTGCCTTTGTCTGTCTGCCTTTGGTTTTGTTTGTGTGATTCAACAACGTGGTTTTGAAGCTTGAACTTTATAGATGATGCAGTTATTTTGCAATGGCAAAAGCTTGGACATGCTGGGACTATACACACGTTCTAGGGTCTACAAAGTCTTGCTCACACCAGACTGTGCTGGCTAGTTTTGATTTGACACAAGCTACAGTCATCTAAGAGGAGGGAACCTCAGCTAAGAAAATGCCTCTGTAAGATCAGGCTGCAATTCTATAGGGCATTTTCTTAATTAATGGTTGGTGGGGAAGAGCCCAGCCCGTTGTGAGTGGTGCCATCCTTGGACTGGTGCTTCTGGGTCCTATAAGAAAGCAGGCTGAGCAAGTCAGTAAGCAGCACTCCTCCATGACCTCTGCATCAGCTCCTGCCTCCAGGTGCCTGTCCTGTTTGAGTCCCTGTCCTGACTTCCTTTGATGATGAACTGTGATGTGGGTTAGTAAGCCAAATAAACCCTTTTTCCCCAGGTTGTTTTGGTCATAGTGTTTCGTCACAGTAATAGTGACCCAGACTAAGACCCAGCCTGTACCAGAACTGTATTCGGGACATGCCAAATGAACACACCCTCAAAATATTACAAACGTGTGACATATCCAAGGACTACAAACTTCCCCACCAAGCCCTGAGGAGAGCAAGCAACTCCATGGGACCCTCAAGGGACTTGCATATAATATTCCCACACCGTGAAAGGGGGCTAAGCCTTTGGTAGTCATTGGCACAGCTACAGACGAGTACCCACAATCCAATCTCATTTTCTGACAAGCTTCAGGGTTCCTAGAGCTCAGCTGGGGCCTTGGAGCTGTAAGCACAGACGTCAATCTACCGCTGTTAGGGCCACACCAGGAAGTCACACACAACAGACTTGTGATGAAGTAACTGGATCGGGGTCCAGGAGGGGCATTGGATGCTCAAAGTCACCTACATCTAATGACAAAACCCAGCAAGCTCATTTCAGAAAATTATGTCATCACAGAGAAAGCACAAAGGGCCAGGAAACAAAGACACCTGCTGCCTTCTTCAAATACCCACAAAGGCTTGAAACAGAACAGAAATGAGCCATTTTACAGGATGAAACTAGTCCCAAATGGGAAAGCGGCAGTAGAGGCAGTAGTAAGCCATGTTATTTAGAACACCCCTCAGCTCAAATGGGCCGCTAGGAGGGGTAGTGAGGGTCCTGACCCCTCCCTCGGCATCCAAACATGAGGAACATTCCAAGGCAGGCTGGAGGTGATCGCAACCTCCAAGATCCCTTCCACTTATGGAAGGTCCTTCACCCTATACTCCCCAAGCTCCCGCCAGCCCAGGTACCAACTCACCCACAGGTGTGTCCTCGCTGATCAGCAGGTAGGTGTCAAAGAAGTGATTGATGAAGAACGGTAGTCGGTTCACCTGGCCTGCAAGTCAGAGGACAAGGATGTCAGCCTGGTGGCCCCCGCCAGCTTTCTGTATCCTACTGGGTGACACAGAGTGAATGTGGGCAACATCAGCTTCCCAAGATGGGCAGCCCGGTCACAAGTGGCTGCCGGGCACTGGCCCTAGCATGAAATGCATACAAGACTTTTAAGGTGCTGCCTCCCCACCCAAATCTGTGGATACCATCTTAGCTAACCTCTAATATCGATGACACATTGGAATATAATTTGGAATATCTTAGATGAAGTAAAAGATATTATTAAAATGAATTTCACCATTTCTCTTTACTTTCCTAATACGGCTCCTACAAATCCCACACTCAGACCCCCGTGGGCTATGGTGGATTCCCACCAAGCAGCATGGTTTGAAGTAGAACTTACGTAGGTTCTAAAGGGTCAAGGGCTTGGCTGCTCATGGTCACCCTGGCATCCACGGCAGGGCCTGGTGTTTAGAAAGCCCCTAAAGTGTGTTTGTTGTGGGAAGAATAACAGTGATGACCTAGTGGCAGCCACTATCTCTGGAACTGCTTCTCCCTGCCAGTCCCTCATATAGCTACAATCCAGTAACAGAAAGCCAGGTGTGAATGAGGCTGGCTGGAGTATCTCAGTCTATTCGGCACCCAGACATCAAAACGTGCCCTGTTAACTGAGGGGCACTCCGACAGCACCCATGTGCGGTGGGGGCTGGGAAGAGTCAGGTGATGTGCTCGGACTGGGGGACTTCACAAAGCCCCTAACAAGCTTCGCCCACGGCTGGCTTCTCCAGTTCTCTGCTTCTTCCTGGGGGCTTCAGTAGGCTGAGGGGACACTTACCCGCAGTCACTGAAAACTGGGGGACCAGGTCAGTTTCTGTGGTTCAGCCCCTCCTACAGGGGTTCCTACAGGGAGCTCCAGGGGCCTACAAGGGGCAGGGACAGCTCCCTCACTCTCTTTTCTACTGACCTGGGTGCCCTTAAACTCATGCCAGGCTCCCAGAGGGTGAGAAGCTGGCATTAGGGAGGGAACTAAGGACATGCAGGAGATTGGGCATCTCATTCTCCTCCTGCTTAGACAGCCAGACTATGCTTGTTTCTGGCCTCACTCTTCCAGGCCAGCACTGCTGGTTTTTCCACTTCACTTCCTAAATTTCAAGCTTCACCTCATTTCTGTGTCTCTTCTCCCAGGAAGCCCTCCCTGAACCATCCCAGATGTGGTCATGCACCTGTACATCTGTGTCCCTCCCTGAACCACCCCAGATGTGCACATGCACCTGTACATCTGTGTCCCTCCCTGAATCATCCCAGATGTGCACACGCACCTGCACATGTGTCCACACTCACATAGACACCTCAGATGTGCACATGCACCTGCACATGTGTGTCCTTGCTCACATAGACACCTCAGATATGTACACATGCCTAAACACATGTGTCCATGTTCACATAGACTCCTCAGATGTGTACACACACCTAAACACACGTGTCCATGTTCACAGCAGCAGTCTCGGAAAGAGTTGGTAAAATGGCACCTCATCTTCTTTGAAACTTCCTTGTCCTACATCTAGGCACAAGGCTTCCCGTGCCTCAGTTTACTTGTGTGCAAAATGGCAATAATAACAAGGCTTACTTCACAACTAACCTGGGGATTCAATGAGATTACATACACAAGGTGCCCAGTGCTAAGCCTAACACACAGCAAGCTTTAATAAGTGGTAGCTATCATTAACCCTGGCATGAATAAAAGTGCTGTCCAGAGGGGAAGGACTCTGAGACCTGCTGCAGGCCTTGGGGGTTGACACAAGGAAGTAGAGGACCCTGGGAACCCCAAGAATGCAATAGTGGGCTAGGATTGTGGGTGGAAAATTAGTGACAAGGGAAACCTGGTCTGCAGCAGCTTGCTTTATTTCTAAATTTTCTTTCATAGACCTCCTGGCACCAGCCACCCGCCACACTAAAAGGAGCAACTTTAGTTGCTTAGCACACGTAGATGTGGTCAGCAAAGCTAGCCAGAACCCAGGCAGATCACCTGTGCTTTGCCATACAATTTGCTGGGTGGCCTCAGGCCACTTGCTATGCTTCTCTGTTTTCTGTGTCCCTTGAGAGAGAGATAGCACGCTAACAACAGGGTGAGCGTCGAGCAAGCATTCATCCAGTACCCGATGTACCAGTCAGAGGGCTTGATGTTTATATTGATTCACAGGATCGACCTATGCTGCCCCTGAACTATAGACAAAGAAAAGTGCAGTCTAGGGAGGTTCAGAAGCCTTCCCAAGGGAGACCAGGGGCAGAGAGTAAAATCTGCGTGCAGAACACCTGAACAGTCTTTGAAAGCTCAAGGGAGACAGACATCTCCCTGAGCAAGCTGGGACAAACCTGCTATACAGTTACATGTGTGGCTTTTAACAGGCAGACCGTTAGTGCAGCAGAGTAGCTCAGAGAGTCCCACAGAGGCAGAGACAAGGGTTCTGACTCCTGCATGGGTCAGACCAGGAGGGGTGGTCATCTGATTAAAAATAAACAAACAGACAAACAAACTCAGGTTGGATGACCTTGGGCCATCCAGCCTCTCCTCTGTAAAAGGTCCTGAGACTACGTCCTCTCTGTCTCTAAGAGTCCGTGAGACTGGAATGAAGTCCCAAGCTGTTTAGATGGGAGTGAGCTCCCCACAGCTGGGGGCATTCAAGTAGGAAATGGGGACGAGGAGAGGAAACGATGCTAGCGAAACTCCAACAAGCATGAGGCAGCACTCTGTCCTCCAGAGCCCCACAGCTCCCCAGAGGGAAGCAGCCGAGAGGGGCCCCGTGGGAATGTGTTTGCCTGTGTCGCCAGGCACGTGGTTTCCATAGCTGTTCTCTGAGGACACCCTGGCCCTGGGGGACACTGTGCACAGCATGCCTGTGGTCCTGGCCTTCCTTCAGTGCAGCTTCCCTGTTCCTTACTATCTGCTGCCCAGAGGCAAGGACAAGGTGCCCAGGTCTTCTTGGCGGGCACCAGTGGCACTAGAAGGGGAGATTCCTAAAAGAAGGACAGTTCTGGGCTATCACATACGTGTGCTCAGGCCATCCACAGAAATTCTGACCACCCACTCCCCACCCCTGTCCAGGATGCCTTCTCCCCCCCCCCTTTCCTCTAGGCAAAATAAACAGCTTTCCCTGCTGGCCAGGTGGTAACTACCTGCAGCCCAGGGACTCTTTTCCCTCTGAGGAACTTCTCTAGGACCAGGGACGTCCCTATGAGCACAGCCTGCACAGCTCGGTGTGTATTAACCCTTCACATCCTTCTCCTACTGGACTGAGCCCCCTGCATATGTGCTGACGCCCCCACTCCCTAGAGGTGGCATTCTATGCACACAACATCACGCAGCAGGTGTTACAACACAGCTGGGACACTGAACAGACCTGTGACCCCTTTCCACAGCACAGGAAGACAGTTCATGGTCACAGATCATGGAATCTAAGAATTTCTCAAGGCTCCTCCATGGCTTCCTGGGACCCAGGCTGTGGGGACAGCCAGTATTTTCAGCCCTCTGCAAACTGCAGGAGGCCACCCGAGGCCTAGAGAGGGACATGTGTCTTCAGTCACGTGGCAAAACATGGTCTCTGGGGTCCGAGAGCTTTAAAGTCAGGCTACTGGTCTGAGCAACCTCCAGTGCAGCCTCCCCAGCGCTGGCTGGTATTAGCAGAGAGACTTACAGAGAGGGTAAGAGGGACTTACCCCAGGATCCAGACACCAACATGAGAAGCCAGAGCACAGCACAGGAAGTAGCAATGGGGCACCTCATGGTTCCTGGGAATACAAACAAGGAAAAGAAAGAGGGTGTGAGATGCAAACTTCTGGAACTCCAGAATCCCATTTCTGAGGTCCAGGAGAGCAAGGCCTGGGATGGGAACAGGGAGCAGCTCCCAGGAGAAGACAGTCGGGTCCACCCACTCTCAGCCTAGTCCAGGTCTGAGTATATCAAATGGTCCGAGAGTCCTTGGCTTTTCTAAGACATATGTGACAGGCAAAACTCATGGCAGACACAAAGGACTTTCTGGGGACACACTCAAGTTTCAGTGTATCAAAGGACAGGCTGCCGCCTCTGCCCTCTGAACCCATATCCTGCAGAACGGCAGAACACTTGGGAATGGGGTCGAGTGTGGTGTTAAGCAGGAAGATGGGGCCTGGTAAGTTCATCAAACTGCCCAGACCCCAGCATCCTTGTTTCAGGTTCTCACGTCCATTGTATTATCTCCTAACCCGGGAGGGTGAGAGGAAACTCAGGCCATGATGTCTGTGGTGGTCTGAATGAAAATGGCCCTCATAGGCCCATAGGACAAGGCACTATTAGTATCTGTGGCTTTATTGGAATAGTTGTGACCTTGCTGGAGGAAGTGTGTCACTGGGGGTGGGCTCTGAGGTTTCAGAAGCTCAAGCCAGGCCCAGTGTCACTTTCTCTTCCTGCTGTCTGCTAGTCTGGATGTAGAACTCTCAGCTGCCTCTCCAGCGCCATGTCTGCCCACATGCCACCGTGCTTCCTGCCGTTACAATGATGGGCTGCACCTCTGAAACTATAAGTCACCTGCAATGCCTTTATCAGAGTTGCTGTGGTCACAGTGTCTCTTCACAGCAATGGAGCATGAACTACAACAGTGTCCAAGAGAGAATACCCCAACAAACCTCTGGGAGCCTGGGACTGAGCTCTGGAAAGATGCAGGCTCAGTGAGGAAGGCCCTATCCCTGAAGGAGGCTGATGGTAGGCCACCCCTTCCCACCCATCATGCAGGGTCATGGTCCCTCCACATCAGGGACCCAGGATGAGATCTCCCTAACGGCCTACATCCATCTCTCCACAAAGTGAGCCTGGGAGTGTGGGAACATGGCTGGCATGTACCCACTGGGTGTCTTGTTTAAAGACCTCCCCACCCCTGGCTCATGAGACAGCTCTCAGCCACACAGCACCTTACTCAGGGAATCCCACCAGTAAGTGTAGTCAGCATTGGCCCACAGCAGACGGTTTGCTTCCACCATCAATGACTGACTAGGAGAATGAGGAGCTAGCTGGCCCCTGACAGGATTTTGTCTGCCAATATTGGGGGCCAATTCACCAATTCAGCCCTGGTAGGGATGGTTTCTGTCTCTCAGCCCATGTCCTGAGCAGATAGTGAGGTGACTCCCACAGATATTACATCCAATGACATGAGACAGCCCATGGAGCAGTTTTGATATAACTTTTGTGTGCACTTAAAACATCCTAATTACAGAAGAAAACGACCACCGGGCTGCATTTCCTAACGATACCGTCTCTTCTCCATTCCTCGGCATTTCCGCCTCTGTGAGTTTCCACATGTTCACAGCCCACCTCAGGGGCTCAAGGGCTGGAGAGCTCAGAGGATGAACAGGGAACGGAAAGGAGAAAGCGGCTGGATTGGTGGAAGGGGGTCCAGCTGTGGGAAAGCAGCCCCTGCTAATGGTTTGGTCGACTGGGGGAGGGGAAGAGCTTCTGATTTAGTAAAAAGTTTGGAAGCTGGACTTCTATATGATGAACTTTTATATAAACCGGGCACTTAAATATTTGTACATAATTCAATTCCTGAGAAGCACTTCGTATGCCAAGCATGCTCCATCCAACAAGTAGAGTGGACACTGACCTGGCAGTTCTCCCACCAAGCCTTCTCTCTTTCTCCATTACGTTCCCACCCTGCACTTGCTTGAGTCTCTGTAGTGGCTGCTGATCTCTGCAGCAACTTGAGGGCCACGGGGTGTGGTAGAGAGTTTGCCTAGCTAGAATCTGCTAGTGAGGGCTGGAGTGTGGATCAGGGGTAGAGTGTCTGCCAAGAATCCACTAGTGAGGGGCTGGGATGGGGCTCGGAGGCAGAGTGCTTACAGAGAATCTGCTAGGAAGGGGTTGAAGTGTGGCTCAGAGGTAGAGAACTTGCCTAGAATCCATCAGTGAGGGGCTGGAGTGTGGCTCAAGGGTAGAACACTGGCCTAGAACCAACCAGTGAGGGGCTGGGGTGTGAATCTGAGGTAGAATGTCTGCCTAGAATCCACCAGGGAGATTCTGAGGGTGTGTAGCTCAGCAGTACAGCCCTTACCCAGAACCTTCCAGTAAGGGGGAGCTAGGGGTATGGTCAGCAGTAAAGAGCCTGCCTGGAGCCCATCACTGAGGAGCTGATGGCTCTGTGGTAAAGCATTTAGCTAACATATGAAGGGACCCCGGTTTCATCTCCAGCCCTGAAGAAAAAAAAATTAATTAAATTTTAAAAGTCATTTGTTTTTCTCCCGCCATGACATTCACAGATGACCCTCTAGGCCTATGTGACTTAGACCTGCCTCCTTTAGAAGCTAAAAATAGCCTGGCAGGGCTTTCCTTCAACAGAGAGAGCTGTCCCTTCTGACATGTATCTGGATTCTTAACCCTACAGGAGAGGCTACTGAGGGTTTTTCTCTCCGTGTAACTGTGTTAGGGCTCTGTTATTCAGTGTCCAGGGCATTGCAGGGTCAGTTAAACACAGACCCCAAGTGTGTACGTCGGCCTTCATTCGATGTCACCAGATTCCCTTCTGGGACCAGTGGCAGCCATTCGCCGTCCCTCCTGTGGTGTGCGGTAGGGCCCAACTGCAAGCCATCCCTCTTTTTAAATGGCTGCCAATCGGACATGTGAAAAAACGGCACGACATCCTCCCTTTCATTTGCATTTCCCTAACTACTGGTGAGGTTGAGCACGATGCCTCTTTCTAAACATCCGCACCACTTCCCATCTGTTATCTCAAATTATCCTATCTGGTCGCAAAGAGAAGCCAGGCAGCATCGTGTACAATATCCCTGATTTACAATTGGAGAAACCAAGGCACGGAGCGATTGAGTGACGATCTGACACCCCGTGGTCTGCCATACCAAACCAGATGTTAGGGGAATTAAACATCTGTTAGGAGCATCACCCAGAAATAGCTGGGGGAATTCACGCCTCGCTGCCGGGAGCAGCGGGAAGTTCGTGGTGCACACCAGGAGGAAGGAAGGAAAAAAAGGAACATTCATTAGAGGATTCTGCCAGCCAGGGCTTTGCACGGGCGGTCCCTTGACTCAGACTTTCCAAATATCTTAACAAGTTATTCTGGTCTCCATTCTACAGATGATAAAATTGTGACTAAGAAAAGTCACCCTGGGGTGGGGAGTCGGGCTGGTATACCATCACACTGTGCTCTGGGACTCCCTTTTCTTACAGGTATTGTTTCTTTGGGGGGACGGTGTGACTATATGCATAGGTGTGCTCACACGAGCCTGTGAGTGTGGAAGCCAGAATCCAACAACTAGTGTGTTTTGATCGCTTTCCATTTTATCATTTGGGACATGGCCTCTTGCTGAACCTGGATCCCCCTGTTGGGCTAAACTGGCTGGCCAGCATGACCCCAGAATCTGTCTTTCCCCAAGGCACCTCCAGAACAGGGGTTGCAGGTGCATGCTGCCACGCTCAGCTACTCCATGGATCCCAGAGATGTGAAGGCAGGTCCTCACACTTCACCCTCCGGACTATCTTCCCAGCTCTGCTTTGCTTTGTTCTTTTCAGGTAAGCTTGCTCTTTAGCCAAGAATGACCTTTTGAACCCACAAACCTACCTCTGCCTCTGGAGGGCTGAGTTTACAAGGATGCATTACAAACCCAAACTGGTTTCCTTACATATGAGAAGGTGGCCCCTTCCTGCAGAAACACCTGTGTTCAGAAGGAGGTGCTTCTGCCCAAGGGGAGCCACCTAACACGGTTCGCAGGCCTGTATGATGCTTGCCCCATCCCACGGGGCCAGGTCAAGGTCACTGAAGCATTCTGGGTTCCAACCTCCCTCTGTAGACGTCTGTCCATCTCCTTCTCTTCTCAGACCATCAAACTGGCTCAGTGCCCCAGCTGTCAGTCAAGGGAGACCAAACACATCCCATGCTCTGAAGGCTTCCATTCTCATTCTCTCTATCCCTAGTGGGAGACCATGGTCCAGACCCTAACCTCATAGCTTCCAAAGGATGAAGGCAAGCAGCCCAGCTGGAACTGGTCCATACTAGTCCATACTGGTCCTTGGTCATCCCTGAAGCCCCAGACATCATTCTTCTTTGGCCTCACCCCTTTGGCAATTTATATTTTACAGACAAGATAGCGCAAGATCATTCAGGCCAAGGGCAGTGTGCAGAGGCACCTGGCTCACAGATGGCCATTTGGATGGACACTGCCTTTTCCCACTGCAGTGATGGCAGGGACTCCCCTGGGAAATCCTAGCTTTGCAGTGCTCTGGGCCACAGCTCCCCAGTCTCCTGGCCCTCCCTTTTCACATAGCCTGGCCCAGTAGTTTTCTCTACCACAGGTCGCAAATTCCCAACCTGGAGATGTGGCCAGTGTACCTCCTCACCTGTCCACACAAGACCAGAAAATAGATACACCCCTCATGCTGGGCTTAATGCCTAGGTCTGCAAGTTGCCAGAAACATATACATGTAGGTTCACAGTCAGTGACCCCCCAGATCTTTCAGGTACTTGGCTTAACAATCCTTCATATACACAGAAAAGCTTTCAGAAACTTCCCAAACAGCTCCACTGCCAAGGAGACACAGAGCCAGGTCCTAAAACATTATGGCCACCCGTCCTTGTGACAACCTCGCACCAAGCCCTATGGATGAGCAGGGGTCAGAGCATGGCTGTAGACATATGCTAGGACAAATAAGAGCCACCGACATAGAGGATCCCAAGGTACCTAAGAGAGCTACACAAATACCCAAGCTCCATGATGCTAATGTCGTATGTGTGTCTGTGTGTGTGTGTGTG